GCTCTTAGTTAACAAACTTGATTCCAACACCCTCAAGTTTCTGAAATTAGCTTTGAAAATTTAACAAAAAGCTTCAAGAACAAGCTCTGATGGTGTATGTATTATGTATGTATAACTACAAGGTAATATGAAGTCAAGGAAGCTTTTGGAAGGAAGATGGATGGTCTTAGCTCTCAAAAACCTTCGAAGTCTTTGGAAATATTTCCTAACCCCCTAGGTTTTGAAAATATGTTTTGAAATCTCTACAAGAAAGCTTCAAATCTAAGCTTTAATAATGTATGGTGGGTGAAAGTTGATTTGAAGAACAAAGGAAACTTGAAGGTTCAAGAATAACTCATCAATGTCTAACCTCTTTGAAGGTTTTTCTAACCTTAAAATCTGAAGTAGGAGGTCTTATTTATAGAATTTGAGCCAATTTGATCGAAAATATTTTCAAACAAAACCAGTTGTCCAATTCCCGCCAGCTGTCTGTTTGGTGCTAATGAGACCCGGCGGGGCCCAAAAATGAAAAGACGGGCCTAAAAAGGGACTCTGGAAAAGTTTTCATTGAAACTCGGCTGAATCTAAATGGGCCACGTCCGGGTCTAAACAAACCTGGCCGGGTCCAAAAATCTACACTCAAGCCCGACTTCAAATGGGCATATCTCCTTTATCTGAACTTGGTTTTAGGTGATTCTTGGGTCTAAATTGAAGCCCCAGAAGTCTAATTTTCAATGTTAGTGGCCTCATATCTAAATTCTAAGTGTACAAAGAGATAGGCCTAATTTAGTAAAGGCTGCTCATTTCTTTCTTAACGGTTTGATGCCCAACCTTTCCCCCAACTAGTTTTCAAAGAGTTCACATCTCTTCCATGTATCTCCACTTTGTCCTTACTAAGCTTACCGAAAAGTGGAATAATTTAAATGAAATGCGAGCCTCGGAACATCGTAGAAACATTTAGAAAAAATATTTTGAAAAAGAGAGTTTCAAGGTCTAAAATTGTTTGGCCAAAATGGTGTGTAAGGTTTAGGATTAGAGCTTGAATCCAAATTTCTTCACTAAGAACTCAAAAGATTGCACAGTGTAACTTTCATCATCAGGTGTTTGGAACAAAGTGCCCAAGTCTTAAGGATGGTAAAAAATAACGTGTCTACGAATGCCTTATTTCAAAAAACAGTATTAAGGCTATATTCCTTAGTTGTTTTCTAAAACAAAACCTTAATCCAGAAAATCAGAAGCAGAAACAGAAAAGGAGAAAACTAGTGTCTATGGGCTGTTGAGGAGAGTTCCTTTTATAGAACTTGAACAAAAACCAATAAAGAAAGAACGTATTTTGTCTAATATTCAAATATTTAAACTTGTTTAATATTTTATTTATTTATTTCTCTTTCTTTCTATATATATATAAATATCAAAAAAACTAGAAGTTTCATCTCGTGGATATTTTCAATGGAAGACCTCCAATCAAAACTTGAAGGCATATGAAAAGTCCTTCCTTTATTTATAGTGGATGAGAGCACACTCATTTGCTTAAGATTTGTGGGAATCAAGCTAAAAATTTGAATTCTAAGTGCATGGAAGGAAAATGAAATATTGAATTCCCTCCAAGTGAAAGTGTAGAGACTCTTTTAGATTCCAATGTAGGATCCAATAAAAGAAGTGAAACAAAAACATAGAGATAATTATTGATATCAGTAAATAATATATAACATTAATATCCCTTCCATCACCTACCTGCCATTGGGCCCCCGATTTAATAAGTTCACATCCGCAAAGGATACTTTTCCATCACCAAGAAGCCCCTGAAATTGGAGAAACTGTCATAAAAGATTTGGAATGGCAATATTTTCTAAACAGTACTTTGGTAAGCAAGGAATCTGGTTCAGTTATCAACCTCTATGCCTGTTTCGCTAACAATGCCTTATTAAGGCAACCTAAATCTCAAAACCCAAGTCCACCCCACTTCTTAGGTAAACAAACCATTTGTCATCGCTTCCAACACATTTCCCTACCATTAGAAGAACGCTAGAGGAAGTTTCGAATAATGGCCGTAATCTTATGAATAAAAGATTGAGGTATATTAAAGACTGAGAAAGTGTATATGGGAATCGTTTGTAGCACATGCTGCACTAACACACATCTACCAGCAAAATTCAATATATTACACTTCCAGCCTTGCAATTTTTGTTGAATATGCCCAACAATAGGATTAAAAATATGAGTCTTACTCCTATTCAAGAAATTCAAATTCACTCCCAAATAAGTCCCAGGACAAGTAACAACTTGAAATTTAAACACCTGGGTCAATAATCTTGTTTGTTCATGTCAAGTTTGGGCTGAAAAACATTTTAGATGTAGACAAATTAATCTTCAAACCGAAAACTTCACAAAAAGCATTTAAAGCCCATTGTAGGCACCAGATTTTTTCTGCTTGAAAATCGATGAAAATGAAGCAATCATCCGCAAACAAAAGATGGGAAATAGTGGGAAATAGGGGGTGAATGACGACTAATGATATACCTCGACAAATGCCCATTGAACTAAAATGGGTAAAACCTTCCAATAAAACTTGCATGACTAGAATGAATAAATAAGGAGAGTGTATTGCCCTATCGAAGGCTAGATTTTGGCTTAAAAAAATCTGAAGGTTCATTATTCACTAACACCGAAAAAGAGACCGTAGAGAAGCAATGTGTCAACAATTGTATCCAAGGGTATTTTTGTCAATAAACTCCCAAGAATCATATATATCATAAATTTAAATCAATTTCATGAGGAGAAAAGAGAAAATACCACTTTTAAACACATACCCACACTCAACCCCAACTTATAATCTAGTTATTTTATCAAAGAAAAGGGCTAAGACATGCCAAAACTATATATATAACTTAAAGAAACTTTCTACCTCAAGTTGAAGAGAAAGGATGAGAAAAACCTCCAAAAGTAACAGTGTTGAAATTTGATCTCCACCGCACATCATATAGCCCTTGATAAGCTTTCCAAATTTAATGAAATGACTAGGGTTGAATCTTTAATGAATTTGAAGAGATCAAGGAATTTATAAGGGTGGGTAGATGATTTCTAGAGAATAAAGAGAGAAAAAAGAAAGAGTGAAGTGTAGAGAGAGAGAGAGAAATGAAAAGTGAAGAGAAAGGGAGTAATGCTTCAACTTTCAAGTGATTAGACACATTTCTTGGAACTAATTCTAGACAAACTGCTCGAGCGATGGATCATGCGTTCGAGCAATGAATTCAAACTCCTGGAACCTCTCTCATCTGCAAACATACTGCTCGAGCGGTGAACACACACTCCTAGTATTTTAGACTTCAGAACAAAGAATTGGGTGAATAGGTTTATTGTTCGAGTAACAAAGTACCACTCGAGCGGACTCAACTTTCAAGTGAGGCGAAGATCGCCCTTAGAGAATTTTCACCATTTTTGAACTCACTCCAACACCTAAAGGCGCAAGTTAACATATCAGAAAACACTTTAGGACAATAATAAATAATCATAAAGAGAAGAGTTGGTAACAACACAAGACTCGTGGAGTTAAATAGCAATAAGGACTATACAAGAATAGAATTTTGAATTAATATATTCAAGTTGTTCTAGAAGAAGCCCGGGACATCACAACATTGATTGGAAAAAGTATATTAATGAATTTTTTAGTATATTACATTGGAATATTACATTTGGAAAAAAAAGTACACTAATAAATTTTATTTTTTTTTTGAAGTGATACGTTTAGTAATTTCAAAATTATGAAAAAAATTCATATTTGTCACTCAACACATAAGACAAGCGTATTTATACTTGGTTTTTTATATAATTCACACTAGAATGAGATTTTTGAGTCCATAAAAAAAATGAAGGATCAAATAGTTTATACGATTATTATTTGAGATTTATTAGTGCTTCACCATTTTCTATTAAATTATTTCATGGTTCAGATTAATTTATAGATATCTAATGATTTAAAGTAAGGTGTACATGATCTGCACATTTTAATGAGGTGCGCATTTTAACAGGTCCATTTTATTTTTAGGGTCCAGCTTGTCTTATGTTGAGATCATGGCTGGACCCATCCAGTCCGGCCTATGGGTCCATGTTGGGGCTCCATTTCGATAATCTGAGCCATTCAATGTGTAAAACTCATCGAGTGTTATATCCCTATAAAAAATCACGTTGATCCGTTATCGATAACTGTTTAATCGGATCAGAATTCTATCAACTGTTTATTTTTTCACCGTTCATTTTTTTTTAATACAAATCTGATACAATCAAATAGTTATTAATATCCGATCAACGTGATTTTTTACAAAGATGATATTCGACAAGTTCTACACATTGAACAATTCGGATTATCAAAACAGGACCTAAAAATAGACCCATGGATTGAACTGGACGAGTCCAGTCTTGATCCCAACATGAGACAAGCTAGACCCTTATTTTTATTGTAACTTCAGTACAAATAATAAAAGTTAAATTACATTTTTTATTCATATAATTAATTCAATTTTCAATTTTCACCCTCTATTTCATTTGAATATTTTTTGTTGGAAACTTAACTTCTTAATAAAATTAAGAATAAATTACAAACACACCCCCTGAAATTTACTTAAATTACAAATTATCTCTTATAGTTCTAGAAATAGTATGCCTCCTAAAGTTTCTAATTTCATAACAAATAAGTCCTTTTATTAATAAATCATCAAATTAATTAATAGTTTTTAATAATATTAAAATTTTATTTCAATTAATTATTTGGATAGTATTATTATTGTATAGGTGAGCAGTTAGAAAATTCACTTTTTTAATTAATTCTGTTAACTAAAAAATTCTAACAAAAAGGTATTTATAATTTTTCAAATCATAGAGACAATTCGTATTTTAAACAAATCTCAAGAGATTTATTTGTAATTTATCTTAAAATTACTTATTTTAGAAATTAACTTCTAAATAAAAATATTTGATTGAAATGTATGATTCCTGTTTGGTAAAATTACTATTATGCACCTATATATATAAATGAGCCTATTATGTAGGGTTTCTCTTCCGCTGGGTTTCTGTTCCTCGTCACTCTCATTTTCTCTCCTCTCAGTTGCTCAGCTCACTGACGGCGGCTCTCTCACTCCCTTCGGTCTCTGCTCACGGTTTTGGTGAGTCTCCGTTGTCTCTCTCGTTTAGTTTTCTATCTTTTGATCCATCTAATACCTTAATTCTCTCTCTTTCGAGTTTGATTCATATGGTGCGTTAAACCCTAACTTTTCACTGATTTTATCCTAGTTTCATAAAAACCCTAGATTTTGAATGTGCAGCAACTACATCCACTCTGATTTCTCTGTTTTTCAACATGACTTTAGAATACAAATTGGTTATGATTTTTCATGATAATAATCATTGTATAGTATATGTTTCAATTAAAAATTTGTGATCTTGTGAGATCTGTGCTGTTCTTTGTTCTTGTGAATCTGAAATGATTGAACCAAGCAAGAACATTATATAAAATGCTGATTGCTATAATTTGATGACAATTATTGTGATGGTGATCTTTGTTCTTCGTATCCTTAATTAATTTGATTCTAAATAAGAATTAGTAAAATTTTATATGGTATTGCAATTTTTTTATCTATTGTTCCGTGTTTTCATGTTTTGAAATACATAGATAACTAGGTAGTATATATATATATATATATATATATATTAGTCCATCACTTATATTTATTGCTCGTAAAAATATATATGTAGACATTTCCATTTTACTTAAAAAAATATGTGAAGCCAGCGGAATTACTTATTTTCCTATTCCTCCTAATCCTATCCCCGAACCAAGTTGTCTGGAAAAAAATTTAAAATGTAAAAAATATAGAAGTGTATTGAAGTAGAGGAATTGAAAACAGAAATGATTTATCTTTCCGGTAATTTTTTAGTTTACATGAAAAGGCCATGTTTGGTTTGGTTTTCAAAAACTTGTTTTAGAATTTTTTTTCTTGTAAAAATTAATTTGGTGAAAGAAATAAAAAAATAAAAAATACTTGTCATTTTTACAGAATTTTATCTTTTGGGAGGCTAGAAATAATTTTTAGAAATTCTAAAATATCTTTTTGATATTTATATTTATCAAATTAGTTTCCGTTTTTTCAAAAAAGTTTATAAAAAAAACAACCAAACAAGGCCTTTATGTGCAAAAAATAGTTTGAGATTTCCCTTGATGCATAACCCTATATAAAAAAAACAACCAAACAAGGCCTTTATGTGCAAAAAATAGTTTGAGATTTCCCTTGATGCATAACCCTATTATGTTTTACGGTGAATCTTTTTGAGAGCCATTATGATGGGACCCGCATTTTCTCCAACAACGGAACACATTCTTGGGAAGGGAAAATGGCTTTAATTTTCTATTTCTTCCCTTTCTTGTAAATTAAATATGTCCAGAAGGAAGGTGTTCCCTAGTTCCAACATAGATCTCTATGTGGCTTGAATTTCATTGGTCACAGTCGAAGTATTTGTGAGATTTGGGGATTCTAATTTCATCATGCATCGGTGTTGGGGGCGTGTCTTTGATAGAAACATTAGGCTGGGTCTGTTTTGTCCGACATATCATATAGCATCAACAAACTTGCTTAATAAATTGTAATTTAATTTTGCTTATTATTTCTAAATATAAGACCTCACCATGACTGTGTCTCTGGTTAGAAACTTAAATCTGCTTTTCTATATGGTTGTAGAAAGAAACTACATCATTATCTTGCAATGGCAGTCTCATTTTCCGGTGTTAACTCACAATCTGGCCTCAAGAAGCTCGATGAGTACCTCCTGACACGGAGTTACATCACAGGGTGAGTTTCATTCTGTTACTATAGTGGCAAGTTGTGTATCTTTCAGAAACATTGACAATTATTTATTTGATTTTAAGTTTTTGGTTATTTTGTTCGTGTTTTCTCTGTGGATATGAATCCCAGCATTATGTAATTTTTTTGTCATTTTTATTCGACCTCTCAGGTATCAAGCCTCAAAGGATGATATCGCTGTGCACGCAGCTCTTTCAAAACCTCCACCATCTGAATTCGTGAATGCATCTCGGTGGTACAATCACATTGAAGCTCTTCTTAGAATTTCGTAAGTTCTTATATTTGGCACTATTATTGTTTGAGTACATTGGAAGGTGCGATTGTTGGGATACATATTTAAGTGAATGCTTCTGTTTCTTTTTAACTTCTATGTGCTGTTTATCAAATTATTGATTGCTGTTCTTCAGTGGTGTTTCTGGGGAAGGTTGTGGTGTCACCATAGAGGGATCTGCTCCAGTCATCGAGGAGGCTATCGCAACTCCTCCTGTAGCTGACACTAAGGCAAGTTTATCTATGCTTGCCTGTTGTAAATTTGTTTCTAGTTTTCTGATTTTAATTTTAATTTTAGTTTGTCTTTGTTGGCACAGTTTTTTTTAAATTCTTGGTTGCATTCTTCTTGTCAATTTTTTGGTCACCAGGATGTTATGAAATCTGGAAGCTGAGACTACTAAAAACTTCTAAATAACTACAGTTTTTTTTAATAAAAAGTTTCTTATTGATTGTTTTCAAATGTTACTATCCTGTTCATCAATATGCAACGTGTGTTTCAGGCTTCAGCTGCTGAGGATGATGACGACGACGACGATGTGGATCTGTTTGGTGAAGAGACTGAAGAAGAAAAGAAGGCTGCGGAAGAACGTGCAGCAGCCATGAAGGCATCAGGGAAAAAGAAAGAATGTGAGTATTGCTTTTACGTTTTATTACGTAAGCATGAGGGTTTTATTCTATTTATATTTTTTCTTAGTCAATAGTAATTTCTATTTATCATAAAAAGTAGTGACTTGTGTATGACTAAATTATTGATGACTTGTTTTGACTTGAGAATTAGTGGTTTATAGTGTGAATCGTTGTTTCTCTTGGTTAGGCGACTTATGAATGGGAATACCATAGCTATGCATCCATGTGATCACGAACAATGCTTATCAATTTCTATAAGTTGCGTCAACCTTAGGGGTGTAGGCCTGCCAGACATTTTTTATTATATATTTCTATTGCTTTTTAATCATTTTGATTTACACCTGTTTCTGTTTTTAACAAGCGAATATGATTTTCTTGTGATTTTATAACAGCTGGAAAGTCCTCCATTCTCATGGACATTAAGCCATGGGATGATGAGACTGACATGAAAAAGCTTGAGGAAGCTGTTAGAAGCGTCCAGATGGAAGGATTGGTTTGGGGAGCTTGTATGTTTCTCTTTTTGATTTTGAAATGTCCTTCTATTGGAGCAAATGGGATCATTGGATGTTGAAATTCATTATCGATTCATTTAATATTGAAGCTATATTTCTGAAAATGACTGATGAGCTTGTGGGGTTTTGCAGCCAAACTTGTGCCTGTTGGATATGGTATTAAAAAGTTGCAGATTTTGCTTTCCATTGTGGATGACTTGGTGTCCGTTGACACTCTCATTGAGGATTATCTCACGGCTGAACCCGTGAATGAGTATGTCCAGAGTTGCGATATTGTTGCGTTTAACAAAATATGTGAGTTAATTGGAACAGTTTTTATTGCATCTATATAATTTTATGCCATATGTATTTACTGAATGACAAATCTACTTACCTTGGCCATATGTATTTTTTGTCTTTCTTATTTTTGAATGATTCTTGTGCAGAATTTTTACCATCTGTTCGAGCTTCTGGGGTATGGTTGAAGGAGAGTTTTCCCTGCTATATTATTCTGTTTTATATTATGTCTCTACTTATTTCCATCTGTCATCAGTGCCATCTGGATTTCGTCGTGAATGAAGTGGGACAAGTTTTAAAATAGTTGTATTGTTGCAATGACTTTTTTTAATTCTTCATTTGTGTTTGTTATGAGGAATCAGACTAATTAATTGCAGCTGTGGTTTTATTAGTCTGTAAACGATATCATCAGCAAACGGTGTGGTTTATGTCAATTTATTTTTGGCCTCATTTCATAGTTCTCCGAAAAATAGTTCACTTTTATTCTCTGATGTCACGAGTTAAATATCTCACCTCACCTCCCATCGGGTAATTATTCAGTAATTCGGGAGTATAGACACGTGCTACTCCATAGCATTGTGATTGGTGGATAAGGTGAATAAGTGGGGTATTATGTTATGTAATTGAAGAACATGAGGGGACATATTAAATAATAATTGGCTAGGGAGTATGGACACGGGGTGCATATTGAATAATTTCCCCCTCTGATCTCATCTTTTTCAACCTCTTGGCAAGGAAATTTTTTTCATCCACTTATTTTGTGGGGTTATCGATCGAAAAATTATTAGGTATTTTTAGAGTGTTACGTGATCATATTTTTTCACTAATTACGATTCATTATGTTGTCTTATGTTTATCAATTTCTCAATACAGATAAATAATTTCACATGTTTTACTAATCATACTATGAAGCATTACGTGATTATATTTTTGGACTGTCGAATAATCACCCGATTGATTGTGGGGGGTTGTCAATATTATTGTGATTGTTCTTCTGGGGCACGGGGCACAGTGCAGATATGGAGGCTCGGTTCCATAACTAGCCCTAAAAATTCGTTTCTGTATCTCCTTTTGAGATTCTCATAACAACATAATATCTATCGCAAACTCTAATGCATTTTTGCCCCAGTTCATTAAATTGAATTTTTTTTTTTGGTTGTAGTCCTTCAAATGGGTGTTGTTTAATGTTTAAATAATGTTAAAAAAGTAAAAAAATTTCATATATTTTAATTTATTAGAAATTTTTTTTTATAAATAAACTAACTTTAATCACCGCCCATTTTGTGGTGATTAGTATTGTCTTTCTATTTTGAGATTTTTATTTATAAATACAATTAGAAATATATGTTATTCATATATTATGTGATAAGAATTTTGAAGACATTTAAAGAGAGGTTAGTAACAAAAATCAAATTAGAACTTCACGCATACTTGTCCTATTTAGCAATGACTTTTTTAGTTGGTTTTTTGACTTTTTTAGTATGAGACTATAAAAGAAAAAAAAAAAAAAAAAAAAGAAGTTTTCCCTTGTGAGCATATTATGACTCAAGCCTACGAGTGGTTACGGTTAAAAACACATAAATATATTTAAATTCCATCACAAATGAAGAAAAAGTTGCAATGAGAAAATATTGCAAGACGTATAATCCATGTAAAAATATAGGATGCAACTCAGGGGTGTTGAATCAGCTAAAAGGCGGCCTATATTTAACACTTTGTCATCATTTATTTAAAAAAATTTAAAATAATATATATTAAACATGTAGTATAAATGTAGGGGTGCAATTCAAATGAGTTAAGTTGAAGGCTTGACCTCCAATCCTAATGTCTGTGCTCAAAAAAATAACGAGACATTTTTAGAGACATTAGAGACATTTTGGGTTGGAATAAACTTAAATTTTAGAGACATTTTTGGACTGAAATTACATATTTTTGGGCTGATTAACTTATTTTCATATCCATATTGGTCCATCAAATTTGGAAACTATGTATTCTTCAAGTTTTCATCACATATTGAAAAGGTTTAACATAAAACTTGAAACTCCTTGTTAATAAGGATTCAATGTTTATAATTGACAAATAAGGTAATTCCCTTTTGTGTCGTTTGATAACATTTATAGTTGACATTTTTTTTGGTTAACAAAAACAATAATCTAAACAAGTTAGTCACAGTATCATCGAACTTAAGAATTAATCATACTATATGTTACTGTAAGGATCATTGATATGCCCATTTTGAAACTTACTTGGCTAGTACGGTAAATTTGAAAGTCATTAAGCTCTCTAAAAAAAAAGCTCTTTATACATTACCACCTCGTAATCCCTATAGTAAGCAAAAGCTTTGTGTATTAGGTATGACATGCTAAGGCCAATACATATCTATGTAGCATCTATCAAATTCCCAACTTCAATTCTCTATGGATCCTTAACTTCAAGCCTAAAAGGTCCTTGATAAATCAAACCCACATTTTTCAAAATAACTAGAATATAGAGTAGCCCACACAAAAAGAGTGTGAAGTGTTTGGTGTAGGCTTTTAAGCTCTTTTTCTATGGTTTTTTGAGGATTTTTTGCTGTAAAAAAACTGGGTAAAAAGAGAACCAAACACCATCTAAGTTCTAATTTGATAAACATTAAAACTAAAAAATTCTAGTACATGGGATGTCCTTGTGCAAAGGAGCATGATCAATAGGAGGGAAAAGAAGAAAACATCTGAGTAGAGCAAGACCAAGAAGCTAACACTATCCTAGAGTCGAAAACATGATAACCTAAATAGAAAATTACACATACAATATAGACTTGTGAATCCTTCAAATGGAAGAATTACCAGAATACAAGATGATGGAATTCCACAAAAACAAAGAAGAGGAAACAGATTCCAACTCATATGAAAAAAGAAAAAGCAGAGGAAATTTCATTCCAGCTTGCGAGTATAATGAGGGCAAAGGCCCTTCAGTATGATTGTGTGAAAGATTCATATATATTCATATATATGTTCCCCGTTAATCTGTGCACTGTTCAAAAGTATTGCTCCCGAAAGGAGGTGGTTGTTAAGAAACATAACATTTACTTCTTTTTTCTTCTTTCTTTTTTTTTTTTTTTTTTTTTCTGCAACCAAAATTAAATTTATAAAGTTACAATAAGACACCAAAAGAAAACATAAGAGACCAACTTTTCACTTCACACCTCGCATGCTACCCTGTTATATGAGGAAATAAATAAGAAAGAAATTCCCTTAAAAAAAAGGAGAAACATAAGCCCAAAAAGATGCCAAATTGCAAACTCTATCCCATAAGAACTATTGTTTCAAACTTATCCTCGAAAATCCTAGCTTTTTGCTCCAATCATTCCACCCATAAAAGTGAGAAAATAGCACAAGACCACAAGATTGGATGACAAATTCAGCACCAAGAGATTAGTAAGATTTGCCATAGTTGGAAGAATTGCTTCTGCAATCCTATTTTCTTGAAACAATAGATATGTAATATTAACTAGGCTGCCTTCCTTCGAGGACCATACTAACCAATCCAAGATACTCTAAACTAGTGCAGTTTGTTAGGGCAGTGAAGGAAAGAACAATATTAGAGTTGTTGTCATGGCTAACCACGTCATTATATGATTAACAAAGATAGAGAAGTTTAGTTAGCTTTGCTACTATCTCTGAAGGCAATTCACCAGAGACATGATCATACTCCACATCCAAATTATACACGAGTGAAGCATTGGTTATTGAAAATGAGATTTCCCCTGCGTGAAAGTTCATGAAGATGTCTACATTTTCCAACAAGGTGCAGTTAGAGAAGGAAGCTGTAATGTTACTCATTAGTTTGTTTGCATGAGGAATTACGAAGTAAAGACTGGTAAGAATGGAGAAGGAATCTGGTATCTGGCCTTCCAAATTGTTCCCCACAAACGAGGGCCAGCAAACGCGCTGCTGGAGAGAGGAGAATTCTGGTGGAATGATGCCAGAGACGTTATTGTTCACAAGCTCTAGGACTCGAAGTTGAGTGAGGTTTGCAATGATGGGTGAAAGCAAACCCACAAGTTGAGAATCATTGAGGATGAGTTCCGTCACACAGTGACGATGTTTATTACATCTGACACCAGTGAAGTTGCACACCTGAGTGACCTCATTCCAGTTAGAAAGCACAGAATATGGGTCAGATGATATAGTCTTTTTTAATGCAAGAAGTGCAGCTCTATTGGTTGTTGGGGAATTTAAAAAATGGGTTTTCAAAATTTATTGTTTAGTTTTTTGGGTTTTTATTTGGAAAGCTTGAAATAAGCTTGGAGACTTTGTCCCACATTGGAAAGAGAGCAAAACATAGAGCACTTAATAAAGTGCTACATGGAATATTCCTTTGAATATGAAATTGTGGGATGGAGCACCATCCGCACACACATGCGTGGCGTGGGCCGTGGACTGTGTGGCGTTTGATGGCGCACTTTGCACGGATGCATCAGTGCAAGGCGCCATGAGGGTGCTTTTCTATTTGCATCGGACAAGTTGGAGCAATGACCATGAGGGTGCTTTTCTATTTGCATCGGACAAGTTGGAGCAATGACGTGAATCCAACGTGGTATGGATGACGTGGCAGTATCCGACCTAGAGCAGGTTGATTGGATATGCGCATGATCGTACGGGTGAGATGGCACATGATCGTGATCAGGTATGATTAGTCAATGCATCTATTCGGTGTGAGAATGATCTACACCATAGATCGTCGATCCAACGGTCATATCGGATTGGATACGATCAAGGGACATGACCATTTAATCAGATACTTCAAGGCCTATAAATAGGCTGCGAAATTAGCCATTTCAATCCATCCAAAAATTCAGAAAACATTCCTATAACTCTCTCTCTCTCTCTCTCTCTATCCCTCTTGATTTAGAGTTTTCGATCCAGAGTTTCTTATGCAAGTTTCTGCTTTTCTTACTAGTAATCAAATTCTGCAGACTTGATTATCAGTGTCTTGGTTTTCTTGATTATATCAAGAGTATTTAGATCTACTGTCGTCAGTGCAGATGCCGATAGACTTGATCTTTAGATCAGGTTTCATTGTATCCTAGAGGCGAATTTGCTATAACCCCCTGCACACCTTTTGATGGATGAAAATATTGTCTTTAGGAAAGCGACTAAGTAATGCGACTTGAAGTACTAAATTTTTCTTCTACATAGACAATATTATTGCCAAGTTTTGAAGACCCAAAGACCACCAACTAAAGAATTCAAGACGAATTGTTCCAACATTGGTTTATAAAGAGTGGCAAGAGGGATGGCGGTGTGAATGACCAGAAAGTGCATGTCCAAAGATTGTAACCAAATATTGCAATAAAAAAAGGAACTTGGTTCTATTGAAGATTATGTCGGAGAAATTAGAAGCTCCCAATTATGTTCTGCCTATCTCTCTATGTTTCATACATTTGATTATGATTCTGGTTCCACTTG